AGATTTTTAATTGATTGATGACATTCCTATGCCTGTCCGATATTTCTATAAATTAATGACGTGCTACCTGGCTAAACATAAAATCTCTTTAGCCCTCGATAGTAAAACTGATTTTCCAAAGCATTTCTGGTATGTTCGAGAACATTTTTATGATTAAATTTTTAAATTGATGAAAATTTTAAGGAGCTGAGTTTTTGTCGCAATCTTTTTATCTTTGTAACCTGATGGCATACTGAGACTATTTTGATCAGTTCCTTTATGTTAAAAGTATAGACGAAATGGTTGGACTTTATGTGTTTGGTTTCTTCATTTTGTATTCAAAATTGCGTTTTGGTCTCTGATTTTTGCTTTGCCTCTCAAAATACTATGATTATTGAAAAATCTACTTTGAAAAAATGGTTTTGGTTAGTTTGCTAGACAAATCAAACACCTAATATTGGTTTTTAAACTAACTGTTTTTATACCACAACTTTCCCTGTAGGTCCTACACTCAGCTTGTTCTATAGATAACGAAGCTTTAGTTATTAATTTATTATTAATACATTTTTCTGCAAGTATCCACACTACTATTCATTGATCATTTGTTTACTCGACATTCTTTAATCCTTTATATTATTTAGGGTTTCCAGTCGTAATTACGTTATGCGTAATTATGTGTAACATTTTCTTTCACTTGCAGAGGAGCATTACGCGAAATTACATGTTAATTACGTATATGAAAGAAAGTTTAGTTTCTAGTAATACATGCGTAATTACGCGAAATTACTGAATACGAAACCATTCCATAGTTAGTAAAATACATATAAATTCTAAGAAATGAATATAGCGGGAAAATATGTGTAATTGGATATGCTCGCTAAAACCATGTCTAATCTTGTTGGATAATTTAAATACTTTCAAATTAAAGTTTCGCTAATTAGATGTAATTATTGCAAAATTTAGACAAATTACACTTGTAGAAATTACGCAAAATTACAATGTAATTTCAAGAAATCTAAGTTTTGCTAATATGCATAATTATTACAAAATTTCGCGAAATTACCTAGTAAAACTACATGTTAGCTGTAATTTTGTGAAATTGAAGTTTCACTAATTAGGTGTAATCATTACAAAATTTCACAAAATTATGCTATAGTTTTGCAAAATTGAAGTTTTGCCAATTACGCGTAATCCTGCAAAATTACACAAAATAAAAATAATTTTGCCTTACTGCACATAATTTCCCATAATTGAATAAATCTATTACATTGGAAACCCTAATATTATTAGATTCTTCCTGTCTCTCCATCCTTTTTACCCCCTACACACAGTTTTGCCTTTTTATCATATACTTGTTTTTAACTTTTTTAATTTATTTTAATTAAGTTTTACAATATTTTTTTATATTTATATGATATCAGATGAAAATATTTTGACATTTCTATATTTCTTGTTCTTCATTTTTTTCTTGTTCGTACATCTTTCAATCATATTTCAGCTAATTTCGTAAAAATAAAGAAAGACATTTTTTTCTTAACTCTGTATTTAATTGAACTGGCTGAGTGGATCTTGTATTAATTTTCAGGAACTCTATATTGGATGGTTTACTCCTGAGTTGCATCTGACTAAGCAAAGCACCAATTCCAATTGGGGACAGGAGGAGGGGGGGGGGAGGCGAGAATCTCAACCCCTCCCTCTCCCTGGCAGGGAAGGGGGGAACATCTTCCAAGCCCCCATCTCTAATATCAAGAGATTTCCCTTCAAATTTTACCTGTTCAATTTGCTTTTTCCTTCTTACTTCTTGTTTCTTGTTTCTACACTTTAAGGCTCTCCAACTAGTTCTTTTGACATCGAGTTGTGGAGCAGGTAGGAGAGAGATACTGAGGTTTGTAGGAGGAAGGATATAAGTGATTGCTCCTGTTTCTCTTCGTGTGATAGTCTTTCCAACTTAAGGGAAATTTTAAGGAAAACCATAACTGCACCCTATGCAAAATGGGGAATTGCAAGCCTTAAAGCCCCGATGAGAGGAATCTTTCACACCAGTCCAGTCCTCACATCTGGTCGAGTAAAAAACTGGTATCTTTGTGCATGGCTTGTATACCCATCAGGGGTTAAACTCCTTCTTTCAGCTGCACCAGGCTGAAGATGGAGTCTTGTTTTATTTTATATTACATTCGAAAGGCTCCTCCTTTGTAGGATAAGACACATGTGAAACTAAACACAGCGCTCCCCCAAATTGTAAAGCCGGGACCACTGTGAGAGAGGTCCGTTCACTTCTAAGGGTGGTATGCAACTCTATTATCCATACTTGTAACTATGTTTCTTACAAAATAATTACGTTTCATTTTCCAATTAGTTCTATTTTTGTCTCCGTTGTTTTCTTGTGTTCAAGCTTGAACCTTTATTAAACCCAATTCAGCTATTTGTTCAATTAAACCTTGATATTTGCTCAATTAAACCTTGATATTTGTTCAATTAAACCTTGCTATTTGCTCAATTAAACCTTAATATATTTGTTCAATTAAACCTTGATATTTTCTAAATTAAACCTTGATATTTGTTCAACAAAATCTTGATATTTGCTCAATTAAACCTTGATATTTGTTCAATTTAAACTTGATATTTGTTCAATATAACCATGACATTAAGTCAAGACATTCCTAGATCAGAAAAAAATATTAAAAACTGCAAACACATCTGATATCTACTCCTGACATATGATAACCTTCTATTATACTTATATTGATATTTCTGGCGCCAAAATATCAAATTAAAGAATAGTATGAATCAGAAATATGTGTCAAATTGCATTTTTCCCTTGTCTACAAGGGATTAATATGCTTAGATCTAAAAGAGAAGAACAGAAAACAGATGTGTATATTCAATCAAGAGTTCAGAAAAAAATCAGATGCAAGAGTATACAAAGTTCAGAAAAAAAGAAATTCATGGCTCAGAAAAAAATTAAGATCATTTAAAAATAGTTCCTACTTGTAACACGGCAAACTACAAGGACATCCAACAAAATTTTTTCTTTTTATTTTCAAAATTAGCCAAAGTATGATTGAAGGATGGACCAACAAGAAAAAAAATGAAGAACAAGAAATATAGAAATCTCAAAATATATCCATCTGATATCATGAAAATATTTAAAAATATTGTAAAATTTAAAAATAAATAAATTATTAAAGTTAAAAAACCATGACATTAACCCTTGATATTAGAAAGCATTAGCTCTTGATATTAGTAAGCATTAACCCTTGATATTAGTACTCTTTTTTCCTTGATTTTTGTATTCTTTAATAATTGATATTAGTAAACATCAACCCTTGATATTGGTAAACATTAACCCTTGTTATTAGTAAACATTTATCTGCGATATTAGTAAACATTAACTCTTGATATTAGTAAAGTTTTAACACTTGATATTAGTAAACATTAACCCTTGATATTAGCAAACATTAACACTTGATATTAGTAAACATTAACACTTGATATTAGTAAATATTAACACTTGATATTAGTAAGCATTAACTCTTGATATTAGTAAACATTAACCCTAGATATCAGTAAACATAAACCCTAGATATTAGCAAACATTAACACTTGATATTAGTAAACATTAACACTTTTATATTTGCATATTGACACAAATATGACTTGCCGTTATTTTAATGCATCCACCCCCACCCCTCCCATAATTTTTGACATAGTATACCTTTACCTTTATATATTACTTTTTTGTCACTTGTTTACTTTTATTTCGTGGCAAAAAAAAATTTAGATGAATAAATATTTGTTAATATAAATTAGTCCTGGAATTTTGGAAGTTTAGGAATTTCGATAATTTTCTTTCAGAAGACAAAAAGATAAATATTAATTAATAAACATAAAAGCAAAGTTATGGATTCCCTCCAAACTTAGAACTGCGTAGTCAAGCATAATCTTTGTTTAAAGTAGGGAATGGATTTTAACATAATCTGAGATGCTTAGAACACAAGGACTTCAGCATAAAAAGGTGAAGAGGGAAGACACGGGGAAAGTTTAAACTTTTAACTTTATCATCTTAATGAGACAAAAATTTCTTTAACAAAGAAAATTATAAACTTAACTTAACTTAACTTAACAATATACGGAGTGATACACAAAAGATCGAATTGCAAAGAAAATAATTATGAAGATTGAATAAAAAAAAAAATCTAATTTCTAAAGATGGAATAATAAAAGGTTGAATTACAGAAGAACGGAATAAAATAGATTAAATTACAATAGAACGAATTAAAAAGATTGAATACTAAAAGAATAATTACAAAAGATTGAATTCAAACTTATTCAATTACAAAAGATATTATTACAAAAATCGAATTAAAAAAGTTTGAATTACAAAAGATATTATTACAAAAAAGTCGAATTACAAAAGTTTGAATTACAAAAGTTTAAATTACAAAAGTTTGAATTAAAAAAGATCGAATTACAAAAGAATAATTACAAAAGATTGAATTCAAACTTATTCAATTACAAAAGATATTATTACAAAAAATCGAATTAAAAAGTTTGAATTACAAAAGAATAACATACAAAAGATTTAATCACAAAAGTTTGCATTTCAAAAGATTGAATTCAAACTTAATGAATAAAAGATAAAATTACAAAGAGTGAATTACAAATATTAATTTACAAAGATCCATTTACAACATTACAAAAGAACGAATTAAAGAAGTTTGAATTACAAAAGATTGAATCACAAAATTGAATTACAACTTATTAAATAATAAAAGATCAAATGACAAAGATTGAATTACAAAATATCAAATTACAAAGATCAAATTACAAAGATGGAATTACAAAAGAACGACTTACAAAAGTTTTAATTACAAAAGATTGAATCAAAAAATATTGAATTAGAAAAGAAAGAATTACAAACAATTTCTAAAACATTTTAAAACTATGCAATGAATTTTGTAAATGAAGACTATTTTTCACCATACCAGGAGTAAACTAAGAAATGATAATAAAAACTAAGGATGAATTTTAAAACAGATCTGTGCTAGAACCAGCAAAGATGACATGTCTGCAGTAGTGATCGAGTGAGAAAGTCACCAAGTGACTGAGTGAACCTAAAGTGAAGTGAAATTAGTGATTTTTGATAAGATATGAATAATAATGAATGTGCCGGGCAAATTTAGGAAAATGTTACTTCTCTAAAATATAGATTCTTGAACCTTCCATTATTTTAAATAATTCTACAGATTTTTCACATATTATCTTCAGACATAAAAGATCCTTGGACTATTTACTACTTACATAATATTACATTCAGGAGTTATATATATTTAGTCAATGTAAATCCCTTGGAAAGATGAAATGGATGTATAATCTCAAGGGATTTTCCAATTATAGAATAGCTTGTCTGATTCACGGTGATTTAAATATATTGAAAAAAAGTTTATTTTATATGACCCCCGGCGAATAAAAAATAAAATGGTTGAACTATAAAACAGCTTGCATAACAAGTAAATCTTATTTCAAATTTTTTTGTGGATAAATTACGAAAGGACTAGGAGTATTTTTAGCAGACAAAATTTGTGAATCGAACAAGCAACTCGTAAGATGAAGGGTCACTAGAAATTACATCCATAGTACCTTAAATTAAAATGGTATCACTCTTCGGAAGTTTGTTCGAAAAAAGAATGAAGGGAGGGGGGGTTGAAGGTATCCAGGTTATAAAGTATGAAGGTTGAAGGTATTGAAGGTATCCAGTGTATATAGTTTGAAGGTTGAAGGTATTGAAGGTATCCAGTGTATATATAGTTTGAAGGTTGAAGGTATTGAAGGTATCCAGGTTATAAAGTATGAAGGTTGAAGGTATTGAAGGTATCCAGTGTATATAGTTTGAAGGTTGAAGGTATTGAAAGTATCCAGTGTCTATATAGTTTGAAGGTTGAAGGTATTGAAGGTATCCAGTGTATATATANGGGCTTATGGGGGGCTCACCCACCATAGCTGTATACGTTTCTGATTTCACTAAATATTGAAAATTGGCAATATTTTATTTCTTTTTAAATTTACAAATCTTTACGTCGATTGGATTCTTTAAGCCTGCATAGTGTTTTCTTTTAAAAATTTTCTCTCCATATTTTAACCAACATAAATCTTAAAAATTAATATTTATGAAAATATAAATTTCTTCTCAAACACCGAAAAATGAAGAATTTTAAAAACAAGATTTCTTTTATCTCCCAATTTAATGCATTTATTCTTTTCAATGAGGCCATTGACTTTTTATGACAAAATATAACTAAGGGTTATTAACCCTATCCCTGCTGGGGTACTTGAAAACCAGGATATGCTGGGGGGGGGGTCAATTTGACCCCCCCCTCTAAGTCCCATGTTTGATGTCCAAATATGACAAATGATACATCATTGGAAAGCTCTTGTGCTCTACTTTTATAATCTGCAAAAAAATTTGCAAATTTGCAAAAATTGAATTTTTTATTTTTTAATCAAGAAAAACTAAAAATGTGCAAATTTCCTTTGACAGGTTGTTTGCAAAAAATTTGCAATTTATTTTTCGCAAAACTTGTGCAATCCGTTTCCTTATGTCATAGGCTTTCCAAAAAGCTAAATTTTATCAAAATCTGACAAGTGAAAGTGGGTCAAAACAAAGATTTAGTTTGTTACAGGAAAAAGCAGTCATTCAGGCAGTGTGCCTGAGGACTCAGGCAGTTAGTATTAAAGCCCGGTTTTAGGCCTAAAGGGAGGGCTTTGGGTATGTAGGAAAAGTCAGAAAATTTCAACAGCCTCAGACTAATATTTTTTGAGTTATGTAAAAAAACTACAGGGGTGGGTCAAATTGACCCCCCCCCCCAGCAGGAATAGGGTTAATCAGAACCTGTAATCATCATGTTTAAAGAGTTTCAGGTGGTCTATGCAGTCTCATACTGTGGTTAACCCTATATGTATTTAAATGTTTGCTATAGCTGGTCTAACGGCTGGAACAAATTGACTGAATTGTGACTAAAGAGGAACAAACTTTGAAACTTATTTAAATTTCATGGGCAATACTGGTTATTTTAGCTAAAATCATGATTTAAGACCGAGCGCGGGTAAACAGTGGAAGTAACTATGAGTGAAAATATAAACCTGGGCAATACCGGTTATTTCAGCTGAAATTATGATTGAAGACCGAGCGCGGGTAAACAGTGGAAGTAACAATGAGTGATAATATAAACCTGGGCAATACCGGTTATTTCAGCTGAAATTATGATTGAAGACCGAGCGCGGGTAAACGGTGGAAGTAACTATGAGTCCTGGGTAACACCGGGTTCTATAACTAGTTTATTATAGAAATCTGAACACATTTCTTCATATCTCCGAAAATATTAATAAGGCAGATCACATTTTGAAAAAGGCCAGGACTAGGATTTATTTGTAATTATTAACTTTTCAAAAAATAAAGATTTAAATATTGACATTTAAAATATGAGTTTTAAATTGCATCAAATGTTAAGAACACAAGAAAGGAAAAAGAAAAGAATCCCACTAACAAAAAAATTGGCATTATGTAAATTCTTAACTTTTGCATTCTTGGGTTTTTTATTTGTACAATTCTTCATACTTCCTAAAACTCATTAGCATTTGATTTTTTCCTTTTAATCTTGTGAACATTTTACTTACATTTCGTTTCTCTTTTCGTCTTCTTTATCTAATTTTCTTTATCTTTTCAGAAGCTATATGAAGTAAAAGATTTGTTAAGATTAGTGATTCATCATCCATTTTCTAATTCAACATTTTATTTTGATAAACTTAGAAACAAAGTCTTACAGTCTGAGTTTTACGTCATCATTGAAGTACTCTTTCAGAGACCCCATCTTATTCTCGAGACCCCTTCTTATTCTCGAGACCCGTTCTATCATCTCATCGGAAGCCCCTAAGATATTTATTTAAGACCCCTGAGACCCCATTCAATGGCAGTCTGAGGGTCTCCGATATAAAGCGTGGAGTATTTAACGCAAATCTGAGAGTCTCCAATGAAATTCTGGGGTCTCCGATGAGATGGCATTAGATGTCTCCGCAAAGGATTGGTGTCCGATATTACTCCAATGATGATGATTTCTTCTAATTTCTCAAGAATTCTAACGGTGCAGAAGAGTAAACTAATGTTCATGAAACAAGAAAATTTAAAAATACATTTTCCATGGCTCAAAAATAGAATTTAAACAAAACCTTCATTTCTCGTGATCATCCTTTAGCATTTTTTCTATTTTTATTTTTTCCATTTAGAAATAGATTTATTTGAAAAATTCTTTGATTAATCTGAGAACAAAATAAAGTTGGAGAAAATATTTTTCGGTCTATAATTCTTATGATGAGAATACTAAGATTTAGATCTTTAGCGTAAACAACTGTAAAATATCTTAAGTAAGAATTCCATGCCCCCCCCCTATTTTTTTAGGTTAATGCGAGGGGGGGGGGGTATTTTTCTGTCGGGAACGAACTGCTTAATTTTGCGTTCCATCAATGAGATAACAGAGATCACGGATATCCAAAATCTAGAGATCAAGCAGATTCTGAGTAAAATTCAAAAATGCCCACTGTGGATATTGAGATCAAGCAATTGGTATTATTATATTATAAAGATTTATTCACACACAAAGATATAAATACATATATAAATGGTGTAGTTTAAATTTGTTTAAATAAATTTTTTTTAAAATACAGGTTTCCAAAAGAAAAGAGAAAAATATGCAAAATTATGCACAAATAGACAACATTGATCATTACTCATTACATAACATATTTATCATTTCAGTTATTATTATGGGTATCTAACAAAAAAGTTCTCAGTTCGGAGTCTTTTTCTTGATAAATTGTGAAAATAAATAATTTTTACTAAAATACTTTGCACATGTATTTTTAATACATTGTACATTTACTAAAAGAGTAAGAAAAAACATATTTTAGACACTTTTATTTTGGCCTCATTCTAAACAATAAAAATGGCCTTAAGAGCATATATTTTCCCCTTGATGAGACAGTAATATTCCCCTGCAGGTGGATTTTAGAAGAAGATCGACTCAAAGAAAAGGAGAAGAAAGAGCTAGAAAAGAAGAAACTGAAGGAGAAACTGATAAAAGAAAAGGAAATGAAGGAGAAGGAGAATGTACAGGCTGAATCTAAAATCAAGGCAAACCAACCATGGAATTTAATAACTCTATAATTTTATTGAATTAATTGAAACTTAAGGTATTTAATGAGTTCAAGGAGACTGTAGACCTAATTTCAAATTACCCTCAATATATAGAGTGGCATATCGGATTCGCGAAGGTACCCTTTCAACTTTCATCTGAACAACAATTAGGATTGAGAAATCTCTTCTCTGTCTCTACTGCTTAAAAAAATGCCCCTCCGCTCTGCACCCCCCTTCCCCCTCTACTGTTTACCTATAAAATATCCCTCCCCCTGCAACCCCCCCCCCCCAACCAAGTATTCCCAATTCTAGTTTATTAGGTTACACTGGGTTACAATATTGTTAAATTTAAAACCAATCCAAGCTGCTGGTTGGGAGAACCTATCCCCCTTTAATCAAATACTGGAAACTAATCTTGATTAAAGGGAGTGTTCAGATATTTTAGTAAGCTAGGGGGTAACAATTATCAACTGAATTTAATAAAATTTTTTTAAAAACGTAAATTCAACATAAATCGACGAGATATAAAGAAAAATTAGAATATCTATAAATAATAGAAAGGAAACACATTGCTAAATTTCATATTTAAGATTTTCAACTTTGACTTTACAATCCCTATATCTTTGCAACCCAATGTCGTAGACCTTAGATATTTTGAGCTATGAAGTCTGCTAGATAAAAAATCTAAGTTTAAAGATAAAAATATACGAATCTGAAAATTTGAGTTTGTGGCAACGAAGTACTTCTTCTAATTCAATATTTTTTTTTCAATTGTAGAATTAAGTTTTTAGATTTTAATAACAAAAGGTCACGTTTTCCAATAGGTTTCCGCTAATTATTTATATAAAAACTTCTTCCTTCCATAGCCGCAGTATTGCTAATGAATTAATAATTGGTAAACCGAACCCATTTTCCAAATCCTAATTATATTATTAATTATTTAGAAACTTTCAACTAATCAAAATCAAAAGATTGCTTACTCTTTAGATTATAAAAATAAAACAAAGACACCAAAGAAAAAAAACATGAGGAGCAAAAAGGAAAAATATATTATACAAAATACGTATAATCAATTCTGTTTAAGACTAAACAGCTGCTTTTTAAAATCACGTTGTATGTTTTGAATGTTCTTAAAACTGCCTACATTGTAAAAGGTTTGGTGGTGTAGAATTTCGTATCATTATTATCATTTTCATTATCATTATTATTATTAATATTACTATCATTATTACCATTTCATTATTTTTATCATTTTTATTATAATTATCATTATTATTTTCGTTATTATTTTGCATATTATTATGCGTGTTAATGATACTTTTTTCAGTACTTAAAATTGTTTTACTGAACCCGGCTTATTCCTTATAGTAATGAACTTATATTGATTTCAAACATATATAAACATTTTAGTCTCCAGTTTTCAAAGCTTTCTCTTTTTTTGAGATTGGGAATATATATCAAGGTTTCGGTTTGTCACCAGGAGAACTCCAAACTCAGTTCTCTACGGAGACAACACTCGGAAGCAGCGCTACTCCGACAGAGATCATGCTTTAATGTTCTCAGTACTGTCGGAGAGTCCGGAGAAGGGGATCATCTAGTTCAAGTTCTACTAGAAGATACACCGGGAGCAGGAGGAGGATCAGGGACGGAGAAGGAAGGAGGAGCGGAGAATGAAGGAGGAACGGAGAAGGATGAAGGATTGGAGAAGGAAGGAGGAGCGGAGAAGTGTAAAGCTGGAGATGATAAGAATGATGAGGATGAAGGGGAGCGGATGGAGGCAGATCTGGAGGTTGCGAGGATATGTTCGATGAAAGAGGATGAGGAGGTTGGAGAGGTTAAAATGAGGACGAGAAACCACTCTGTAACCGGAGTGGAGCTGGAGAAGGGTTGGCCGAAAAGACGGCCGAGACTCTTCCTAGGACGGAGCCGCAGCGCATATATTCGTCCTGTTACAAGGTTAGTAGGTATTTTTTGCTAAATAGAAGTTTACCCGAAGTTGGCGGATAGCGCTGAGCTGCAAAGCCTCAAAACTTTTGAATTCAAGAGTTTAGATTGTCATTAGCGTAAAAAAAATTCTGCGAGATTTTTCACATCTGGATTTGGACAACCAAATAAGAAACGGATTAACCAGAGATTAAGAAAGAGAATCAGCTTAAACTCGTCTGAGGGGAGGTAGAAAATATTTATACTACTTTAGTAACTAACTTAGCTATATCTTGGACATGCGAAAGTTTCAGATTGGGATAAAACTTGGTTTTTAAAAAAACTTCTAAAATGCTAAAAAGTGCTAAGCCGACCATATTGGAATATTGTCCTCATCACAACTGTTGAAAATACGATAAAAGTTTTAAGGTCGTTCTTTGAGGGTTTTTTATTCAGAAATAACTCATCTATTACTTTCGCTACATATTTTATATAAAATTACTGTTGAATAATAATGAAATTGCATTTCCAGAAAGACTCGTGACATCTTAAGCTATATTAAGCTTAAAGGATAAAATAAAAGATTACAGAGATATAAAGAGGGGCGCAGTGGAGGTTTAGCCTAGGGGGTGCACTTTTGGCGCGCGTTAGCATCAGCTTGCCGACATTTTTATTTTGTGCACCACCCTTAAAAAACACATTTTAGGAAAAAAATTTAAGTTTAAAATCTGTATTAATCTACCCTGACCATAATTACCAATCATACCATTATAAAATCTAGTAGTATAAGAGCAAAAACCTTTGATTTGAGGTAAAAAAACAGCACTTTTTAAATGTTGAAGGGTTGGCTCAGTGCTCAATAATATATTAAATTATTATAATTTTGATGGCTTGTTCTTGTGTTTACAAAAAAAAATATACTTCAACCAGCTTTAAAATGTATACTGTCAACAGGTTGTTAAACCCTAACCTGGATCTGGATGAGTCCCTGGCGTAGTCATATTCACTATGTATATATAAAGTCCCTTATTACAGTCTACAGCAGTTTTTTGTAATTCATCTACTAGTCATATTTGTCCACTATATAGTCCGTTAATCTTAGGCCGGTGCAGTCCTATGTATTTCCTGGCAGTACTTGACTATATTTCATCTGTCCATAATCCATAATAGTCTTTCTGATCGAAGTCCCTCTGTCATTGTTTGCAAGTAAGGGGCTTATCCTTGTTTTCATCCTATAGTCTTCAAAAGTCCGGATAGTCCAATATAATCCTTATTATATTTATTATTGTTATTCTTCTTAGATTGTCAGGTTTTGTGTAACCTTAAATAATATATGTAATACTCATGAGAAGTAACATATATACATTTTTTATTAGAGGATAAATTAAGACAGAATTTCTGAAAATCAAAAACGAGAAAATAGTTAGAAATTCTATAAGAAATTCTATTAGTAAATTTTTGGTATTTTTTCTTAATTGACAAAATTTGATAAAAGATTACTAACAATCATGATCATGCTGGAGCCAAGTGAGGGGGGGGGGCGAGAGGGGGGCAAAATATGCTGAGGGGGGTCGAACCTCGGTTCTCCCCCCCCTAGTTGCGCCACTGTAGATTACACTGGAGACAGTATTATTTTAAGCTTAATAAAACTCTGCGTTAATCATCTTGCTCTTAGAGACTGATTTTAAATGAAACCCCGCGAAAAAATATTGCAAATAAGATTAAGGCACAAGAAAGAATTTGAGAAATAATCATAAAATGGACATCTTGTGACATTGTCGAATGATAAGAAAAGTAAAAAATCTGAATATATATGTAAGTTTAATGAACTAGAGCCTGCCCCTGGCTGTAGGGGGGCTGCATGTCTAGGTGGGCACAGGGGGACCAGGCCCCCCCACTACATCCCTGTGAAGAGCTTTAAATATATTATAAAAATATTAATACTAAATGGGGAGAGACTAGAGAGGGAGGGACATCTTAAGCTATATTAAGCTTAAAGGATAAAATAAAAGATTACAGAGATATAAAGAGCTTTAAAAATAATTATAAAAATGTTCAAACTAAATTGGGAGAGGCCATTCAATGGCAGTCTGAGGGT